ACCTGTCAGTTGTTTCCCAGGTCATTTAATCTTACACTAGAGTCTGCACCCTTTAGCAACACTAGCTGTTCAAACACTCAACTCTCAAAGACAGACTAATAATAGAAAAACAAACTATAAACACTTAAATTACTTTCATGTTCTTCTTCTTCCAGCAGTTGTAGGTTTCAATAGAATATTAGACATTTGTTATGTGCTTCTCCACTCCAAAACTAGGAGTTGAACACTGACTGGAAATTTTCATTAACTGCACTGAAACCAAAATTTCATCGTGGATCAGGTTCTTGGTATTCATAAGTAGTTACTTTCTCGGTTTTGATTCTTTCAAAATTCTCCATACTGATAAACATTTAAGAAATCATGGAAAAAATTCCTGAAATAGTTCTTCCTAATATGTTGTTCTTTACTAACATTATTTTTGAAACTCTTGACAGTGACCCCAAGCCCCATGCTTGAATTTTGTAATCCTAAAAGAATACATGCACTCAGAGGTAAGAGTTCCAAGTATTTCATGCTTACAATGTCCTAGAAGAGGCCCATCCCATCACCTTAGACACTTTAGACAGTTATTTATCCTTCTCACTCTATAATCACAAGTTCTACAGCTAACTTGATTAAGGAAGGAAAAAAACAAGGAAACACACACACACACACACTCACACACACAGACCTCCTCCCCTGCTAGATAAGAACATCCACCATACAAGGCTCCATGTTTTACTTGATGACAGCTCAACAACTAAGTCTGCAAATAGTCTCCCTCAAATGATTAAGAGGTATGATATCCAGAGTTATCAGTTTCAATTTAACAATTTTGATTTAATCACCCTTTGAGTCCTGGAAGCACTCTCAGAAATTTTGCATTTTTTTATGAGTAACTTTCTGGATTTAATGCTCATACTGAATCACAGTCTACTTTTAATCTAATTTGTGGATCTCCTGTAACTGTTGAGGTCTATCTACCCAAGTGACATCAGTAGAAACTTTACAGAATTTGGCCTCTAATCTTACCCCTTTTCCAACCTGGCTGTAGGAGACTCAAGTTTCCATGCAGTACACAAATGGTTAATAGTTGAAGATAGCTCAAGATATACAATTTCAAAGGCTAACAGATAATAGGGAATGCAAATCTTCTAGACAAAGTTCAGACTTATAGAGCGTTTAGAGGCATTTTTCAATTCTAAACAACCATTAGTACGATGGAGTACTAAAAGCACTTACTGCCATTTTACCAATTCAGATGTCTGTGGCAACATAAAGTATTTTTACAGCACTGCTGAAGCTCACTCTCACAGGAGGGTCACACCAGGTCCCTGCTTCTTGGGTGAAATGCTGTAGAACCACTACAGGAATCACTCTCTGAGGATTCCTAGGATCCCCACACTTCTACATGAAGCCTTCTAAGAGGTAAACTGGGTTTTCCCAACTTGTTCTCTGGGGGAGAGACAGAGTAAAATAACAACCACGGCCTGCCTTCAGTTAAGTGATTTATTTTTAACATGTAACTTCTGGGTAGGCTTTTATTTGACTAACATTATCAAATCAAAGGTTTAATTTTATTTCCCATCTATTTCAACTGCAAGGCTTTTTAACCCTGCCCAAACTTTTCTTTTTCTGGGGCTGGCAAAAAACAAAACAGAAATGTTATTTCATCACCCAGGGTAGTAGGATATGGAACCATGAAATCACCAGTGCCAGAGGGTAAAAGATTTTGTACTGAACAAATTAGCATCGGTGAGTCATATCTTGAATGTCCTGTTAGGAGAATCATCCATCAAATATTTTAACAGCTACAGCTTTCACTTTCCAACAGGTTATATGGAAAGCAAGCATATATTGTTTTAAAATATAAATTCAATAGGATGCTCCAGGAAACAAACAAGAGAGTTTAACTCCATTTCCCCAGTGCAAATTATTTAAAACTGGAACTGATTAAGTCTATTCATACCTTTCCATAGAAAAGACTGAAATATTCTCTTTACCCATTCAACTGTCCTCGGCTCTAAATTAAAAGTTTTCCAACAATTTTCACTGCACAGTGCCAAGCCCAGGATCAAATATTAGCTTTCACACTTCTCCATCAGGTGGAAAAAAAGATTTTAATAGCTGAAAGAAATTAAATAATATAAAATCTTATTAAAAATTTGATCAATAAATGCTTGGCATTTGCTTTACCCAGGGAAAGAATAATAATTAAAAATATTCCAAAATATTTTTCAACTAGCTTTCCAAAGACAAGTTACAGGTTTTTCCTTTACATAAAGAACTCTTGTTTTTTTCAATCTCTACTAAATTTATAGACACCAAGTTTAATATTGTTTTTATCATGTGAAAATTACTTCAGTGGCCCATCAATTCCATATTTTAAAAGAACCATTTGAAAGTGTATTTTAGAGAAGGCATTTGCCATCTTTATACCAAACCGGGTGCCAGCCAGTTATGTATTATTTACTTTCCAACGCATTTTTACGTTGATTTATCACCTTATTTCCGAGCTCATCAAAGCACAATAAAACAATACTAGATGAGAATGAGAAAAGGGGGAAGTTTGTTAGTTCCATAATTTTAAGTATTTTCAATTTTAAGCAGCCTAAACATATATCAACAACTACTTGAAAACTAAATTGCCCACATTTTAAAGAATATATGTCTTAAGACAATAAACCAGGTCTACACATAGGTAATGTTAGAATTTTGCAATTCCCCATATTAATATTCCACTGCGATGGGTTCAGTGATTGGGAGGATAATTTTTTGAAAATTCTGCCTCCATTCCTGGTTAGTTCCGAAAGGTCTCAAGCGCCCAAGCTACGCATTTGGGATTTCACGAAGTATTCAAAGAAGGAAAATAACAGAGAGGCGGGAAAAACGCACTCAAAAGCGACAAGCTTCCTAACAACGCCCCCCCCCCCACCCCGTTCTGAAGTTTCCTCGTGAGCTCATCTCTACTGCCCACTAAATGCTTCGTTTGCAAATAGAAACGAAGCAGGGAAAAAAAATAAGTTCCATCCTAGATCTTCCAAAGAGGGAGTCCCACACCTAAAGCGGGCGGGCAACAGGATTGCCAACGTATGGGCTACAGTCACTTTTGAGTTTACTGCGAAAAGCGAAGACCAACACCCCAACGAGTGACTCATCTGGGGGCTTTGTGAGCGGACTTTGTTTGCTTTCTCCACTTTCCGTCTCCCCACTTGGTTGGACGAAGCGTTCGAGGTGGGCCGAGAGAGAAAAGCGCTCAGGGAGAAGGTCGGGCCTCCAGGAGTCCCGGCCCCCACCGCTCCCCCCGCCCCGGGCCGGCCCGGCTGGGGGATTCCCCGGGTTGAATGGGACGGCTCGAGAGCTGGACAGAGGGAGAGGGTGTCAGCTGCCAAGTCTCGGATGAGGCTTGGTGAAGAAAACATGTAAATCCAGTGAAAAAGTTTGGGGAAGATATACACACTCACAACACCCCCTAACTGGGTAAACACGAAGGGGGCGGCGGGAAGGGGGAGTGGCGGGGAGCCCAGAGATACCCGCTATTCGCAGGGATGTGGGAGAGGGTCGGAAAGTCAACACACACACGCATACACACAGAAAAGAGAGGAGAGGGAGGTGAAAAGAAAGGAGAGCGAGCGAGAGATGGATGGGGAAGGAGAGACTCGGAGCAGGACCCGGGGACCCCCCTCACCCCACGGTGCGGGCCCGGGCCGGCGCGCAGTGGCCGAGCGGCCCGCGCTATACAGTGGCGCGGCGCCCTCCTTTCTCCGGGCCGCGGGGTGGTGACAGCGACCGGCCTCCTCCCTTCCCCTTCAGGGCGGGAGAGAAGGGTGTGTGTGTGCGTGTGCCTGTGTGTGTGTGCGTGTGTGATGGGGGGGCCCGGGTTCACCCCGAGGCCTGCTCTCTCCCCCGCACCCCGTGAGGCCGCCTCCTTTCACCTCAGCAGCCCGGCTCCGCCGGGGCGGGCGGGCGGAAAAACAAAGGGGGATTAAGGCCGGGCCGGAGAGCGGAGCCGGGAGGGAGGGGAGGAGGAGCGCCCGCCCGCCCGCCAGCCCGGGGCCCGGCCCCCCTGTCCCCCCCGTGCCCCCCCGGGGGGGC